CCATGGCAGAGTCACAGAAGGCGCAGAGGGCCCTCGTCTCCTCTGCTGCCTTGTCTTCAACAGTTTCAGCATCCATATGGGTTTGTGTGTATTACTGGCATGAGCAACACAGAAGACACTTTAGAAATTAAAATGGTTTTTTATTAAAAGCCTCATTTTCTACAGCACCATCTGTGGGCAGGCTGGGCTGTGTGTGGGGCAGATCCTGATTTCCCAAGTCAAACAGTGCTGAGTTTTGGACCAGAGTTAACAGGATCTGGTCATCATGCAATCACGGGGTCTAATTAGACTGGAAGTTAAATGCAAAATGCCTTGTTTTGTGAACTCAGTGAGCCAAACTCCCATTTATTTCTTTCACAGCAGTCTGCCGTGAACTGAGTCTGTCACTCAGTTTCAATGCTACCTTGTCCCGGACCTGTGTCTTCTGTGCCAGTGTTAATTGTGTGCCCAGTGTTAATTTGGATGGAGTTCCTTCACATCTCAGGTTTCTGAAAAAGCAATGATATATGCAGGCTGGGCTATGCAGCGTGGGACACATGCGTGCACTGCAGGGACGATGCAGTGTGTTACTGCTGGGCCTGAAGACTGCAGCCTCAGCGGAGATTGGATGTGTTTGTTCAGCATAACAACCAGACAGGTGCATAAAAAGGCTGTGGGAACTTGCAACAGCTTGGGGCGAACTGCCCCCCTTCCTCAGCCCCAGTGCAGAGGTATAAGGACTAAGGTGAAAGCAGCACCAGATCATCTTGCTAGAGTATTTTGAACAGGAATAGCTGTCAGCAGCTCTTCCTGCTGGGCTCCCCTGTGTCTGTTCACTGGTAGTGCTTTTTCTTTCCGAGTCAACAAGAAGGAGCTTAAATACTTAAGATATCTGAAGTCCTTATTGTATTTAAAATATTTCTTGTTTTAAAGTACCCTTTTGTAAAAACCTGCACTGATGTACGTTTAGTTAAAGCTGTTTCCACCCTTTCAGTGTCTTCTGTGCTGCAAAGAGATGGGCTTTTTAGACGCATTTCCCACAACACAGAAAAAGACAGAGCAGTTCTTAACTCTTGCAGGTTGGTTGTTCTGTACTGTACAGCAGAAGTGCGAAGTGCTGTCTGAATTATGTTCTTCTAATGACTCAGAAGCATGAAAAGCAATGCCTCTGTAATGATTTCTGGGGTTTACTAATCCTAACTTCTTTTCAGTATCTTTGAATGGAATTTCTTTTCTACTTCTTCCAAGACCAGTCTCAGTGGAAGTGCTATTAATAGATAGCACTGTGCTGCATGGGGCAAGTAATTGACTTCCTGTGGGTGTTTCAATGCATCTGCTGACCTGCATGGTCAGTCAGGTATTTCAAAGGATCCACTGCTTCCTAAACTACTGCCTGTTTTCAGAATGAGAACTCCTCCGATCTGTGAACCGTGAAGAGAGCAGATTGTAGCCTATACCTCACTCGTGTCTCACCGTGCTGTATATGTTCTGTGTGCCTCTCTGTGGATAACTGTTAGAAATCAGCATGCATAACTTCTCAGAGGATTTAAAATGATCCCTGGATCAGAAGAAATACAAATGAGCTTTAAAAGAAAATAGCTTATGTTGTTAGTCATTAACGATTTTATTTTTATTTGGGTGTGAGGCCACGGGGTGTGTTATTGTTCAAATACATGATCATGTTACAATGCTCTGGAAAAACAGATCTGTTGACTTGTCTTGTGGATTTTAATGTAGTGGTGAAGTTCTTTGAGATTCTCATGTTAATTATACTGAGGATTAATTCACTTAGTGCAGAATAAATAAACTAATTTGTATTAACAACCACATAAGGATTCTAAAATTGTGCCTTTGATGTAGCAATCAAAATTAAACATAGTTTGCAAAACATTTCTGTCTTCTTTATGCTGTCCTGTCTGAGCACCTGTCCGGTCAGGAAGAGCAGAGAAGCTGTCAGACCGCCGTCGCAGTCCAGGGCTGTCAGCGGGGGGGCTGGGAGTCATTTAGCCCCACTTCCAGAGCCACCTGTTGGTGCAGTGCCATGGGAAGAGCCCATGATCTCCCACAGTGCTGGTGCTCTGCTGCAAGTCGTGCCAGCTTGTGAACAGCTTGGGGCCACTGCCATAGCTCTGCATTGCGTGCTGCATAATTGCTCAGTATTGTGTTCTTCACAGAGCACTGCAGGAGGAGGAGATGCAGTAGGGATGATTGGGGACTGAGACGTCTATGGTTACTTTCTCTTTAGCACAATTTTCTGTTCCTCCGCACCTGCAGTCTGTTCACTGCAGCAATAATCCTGATTCACACAGTGTCGGCAGCACCAAGACGGACACTGTTTTTTCTGGCAGGCAGCTCATGCTCCTGCATGTTTACCGTTATCAAGTGGAAGCCACTATTGCAGAGTTCACACTTGTGTCATTCGTCACGGAATGTGAAGTCACTAAGAGCCAATTTAGATGCGGTGGCTGGAAAAGCTGTCTGGATGCCGGTGACTACCCCCCCAGTTCACAGCGGCTGCAGGGAGTGTCGCTGGAATGAGAAGGAAGAAGTGCAGTGTGCCTCTTGGCTTGGGGGCTCGTGTTTTTTAACAAGAGCCTGTCGAAAGTCACTTTGATGTGTACATATGCATTCGGTAAATTAAATCAGTCGTCTTCTTTTCTGGTCACCTGAGTCAGAAATCTCAGATGCATCATAATGAAGGGTCCAGAGTGACAGTATTGTTCAAAATGAAGGTCAGAAATGCCCCACTGTGTGTTACCTTTTCATTTAGCAGTGCAGTGTTTTATATTTATCTGTGTCTGATTGGTGCAGATTTTCATTTTCCCCCTCTGGCTCCTTGCTCATACTGGGCAGCTAACAGAATCACTGGGTCTGGCTCTTCTCTCCTCATCTCATTTCCCCTCCCCTGCACAGGCCGATTTTGCTTTTGAATATCATTGTTTTTGCCTTTAACTACTTCTATCCTTGTGCACAAAGTACAGCGTTCGTACAGAGAGTCATTGTATGAGTAGAGAAGTCTGTTGCTGCATTGGGAAACGTCTGCTGCTGTTGTAGGTGAACATTAAGAAGGGTTTGCTTTTATTCTGTTGGGTTAAAAGGCATCTTTGGTTGGATTCTGTTTAACTTTTGTGCTGTAATATTTAGCCTGTTTTATTTCTAGTGATAGTTCTGTTACAGTCAATATATTCTAATATATTCTAATGTACCTGCTACATTCCTGAATTAACTTTTAATTTTCTCATAACAAAGTAGGAATGACATAATTGGGCAGTTATGTTTGAATACTCATTATCTGAAGGTTACAGTGAGCGGTGAGCACACTGATGAGACAGTAGTGCATTTTAAAATCGTTTTAACATCTTTGGATTGTTTTAAAAATGAAATTTATTGTTTAGTAGCATAGAAAGGTTTTAACAATTAACTCAAGAGAATGTAAGATGTCTGTTATGGTAGAAAGCTGTCTTATTGTTTTGTTGTTGGGTGAGGGGGGCTGTGTGTATTATCTCCTAAAACAGAAAGCCCATGTTTTGGTCAGCTTGTAAACTTATTGTGGTTAAAGCTATTTATTATATTCAAGGACAACACAAGGTGTAATGTGTGAAGGTAGTTTATATCGGAAAAGCCTGGTCAAATTTTAGGAATTGCAGGCAGACCACCTGGAATTCAGTCAGGGACGCCACGCTGGGAAACAGTGCAGGATGCAACACCAGAGTGAGCATAAACACAGCAGCACTGGTTTGCTAGGCCTTGGGGTGCAGCAGGGCCTGGTGTGTCACAGTAGGGCCGGACTGTCCTGCTGTCTAGGGAGGCGCAGATTTTCACCTTGCAGGGATCAGTAAGGTCAGTCAGTAACTTTTCATAGAGCAATCTAGTCATGTTTCTGCTGCCTGGTGCAGCTGAATTCCAGACAGGTAGCAAAACCAGAGGCAGGCAAAGTATACAAAGGGCCATTGTCACTGTTTGGATAATTAAAGCAAATCCAGCACTCCTTACTTTATGGTCTTCAGTAATAACTCAAAAATGACTTTGGCTGAAACTACCCCCAAAGGTTGTGTAATTATTACTTTTACCACAAGAAAGGCCAGCAAACCTCAAGTGGCCGGCAGAGAGAACACAGACTACTGGAAAGAGCCCAGAGTAAATTAGGCGGCCCTCTCTGAGCTGAAGAGGTTCTGAACAATAATGCCTTTAGCAAGTACTGGAGAAAGATGAGCAATAGAACTGTGGTGTTCAGAGCTGAGCAGTGCTGCAGTGAGCTTTTCAACAATGGCTGTTTATCAGAGGGAACACAGCACAAGCCTCTGTCCCCCAGGTCTGGCATAGCAGCTGTGATCTCCCAGGGGAAGCTGGATCAGACTCCTATTGCAGAACAGCTTTTATCCTTGCCAGGTTTTACCAACTGCAGGCTCATGTGCAGACAGCACTGATGAAGCAGAAAAGTGTGTATTTTACGGTGTCATAACCTCGGTGTACCCAACGGTGCACAGAATGAGGTAACAAATTTAAAATATATAGAGCATGATGCTGACTTATATAAGAGGTATCAGCAGACAAAATGTGAAGGTGATCAATCTTCTGAGTAGCAGGAATCTGAGCTGTTCTGCTGTGGCTTATTTGGAGCAACGAACATTCCCTGATTATGTCCTAATCTGTCTGGACTTTGTGTTGGACTGGTTGCTCAATCAGTGAAGGGGGAAATTGCTTTTCTGTTTAACTCTTTTTAAATTAAAATTCCATTAATGGCAAATCTGCATGATAAATAGCAGTAACACTGCAGCCCCCGGAAATCACTGAAAGGTGATTTGAATCAGTAATGTCTGTTTTATGTATATTTATTGCTTAAGTTTATTTTTGCTTTCCTAGAGCATTTTTCTGCTCATAATAATAACACCTACACATAGTAATTCTTTTTTTGAAAGTCGTCCTGATGGATGTTTGCTGCTGTTGTTTCTGGTGGCAACATGCCTGCTCTCTCCTCCAGACCACTCTCTGAGCCGCTGTCTCGTCTGCTCTTCCCACAGCTCAGAACGTGACGGTGGAAGAGATCCTTGCAGCATACCGCCAGGCCTGTCAGAAGCTGAACTGCAAGCCCATACCGAAAGTGCTGAAACAGATACAGGTAACATGTCGCCTCCTTGTTCCGCTGCAGAACTAACAGCTGGCAGCTCAGTTTTAGGTCACTGCCTGATGTCCTTTGAGTTCAGTGAGCTCTCATTCATTTTGGCACATCAGCAGCTGAAGTGTTCAAATGGATTTACTCATTGGAGATGCAAGGCTGCAGCTCTGTAGACATTTGTTTTTATTGCACTTGGTAAGGAAGTGAGTTGCCTTGTTCCAGATACAGGGTGTTCATATGTGGCTCTGTAACTGTAACGCACAACTCCCAGTGGGTTGAAGGTACAATTGAGCCAGTGCCCGGGTTTCATCAGCAGTGTGCCAGACAGAGTCGTCAGTAATCATCATGATTTGAAATCAGTAAGTGGTAAATGTAGTCAATATCGCATAAATGTAAAATTATTTTCTCCTTTGGTGGTGCAAAAGCATGAAATTGCATTGTCAGTATGTGGCGTGCTCTACTAGTGCAAATTCTCCATAAAATTACATACAACATTTATTTTTATTCAGCTTTAATAATTACATAATTTTTATTGTTTAACCGTTTTTTTCATTTTTTCAAGAAATTAAATATTATTTTCCTGTTCCAGGGAAAACAAATTCCAGAAAAATTGTAGTTTTTTCAAAGGAAGTAAAAGCTTTAAGTGAAGTAACATTCACATGAATCACTAACTTTCACATGTCACGCTAGGGAAAAATTTACACGAGAGGGAAAAAAACAGGATGTTGAAAGTTGTACCTTTTACACAAATTGTTTGCTTTAATATCTGTGCAGATGGGGATGTGTTATTATACAAAGTATTTCTTTAGCTAATGCCTTTAGGGAAATTACTTTTAAAAGAATTGCTGAACTGTAAAAATCGAGGGAGTGGAAAAGTTGCACAGTGAATGGTATAACCATGGAATTGAGCACAATGGAAAGACGTGACACATAGTGTTCCACATTTCTGGGGTTTATCTTACCAAGCCATGCCTCACTTTAAAAAGCAATTAGCAGTTATTACATCTTCACTATATCCCAGATTAGTCAAATGTATTCATTGTTCTCTGGGTGTAGGATGTTTTTTTTATCCTTATCAGCCCTAATTATTTTGATGTATTTTAGTTAAGAGTTTTGCGTTATTTAAATTATGTACATCTTTATGCTGTCAAAATGAAGATTGTTGGGGTGTCTCATTAACATAGTCAGCTGAAATGAACACACAGCCCCAGGCATACATGTCACTAGCCTGCAGGGCTGAAGTCCTAGTTGGGCTCTGGGTGTAGTGATCAGCTTCCCATGTAAACAGTGCTTGAGGGACTGAAGAGGCACAACGCTCAGCGGCAGACTTGTAGACATGAAATGCAGCTCTGGCCTTGGTTTGCAGCTAGAAGATCTGGTTTATTTCAGTGACAAACATAACTGCTCAAAAGAAAGTTTAGAGTGAGGTCATGCAACGGAAAACATGGAGCACAGCTGTACAACTCGCCTGAAGGGCAAACTCTTACTACAATTAAAAATATCCATTGTGTCACTTGTCAACTGTGAACAGGATTCCCCCAGCAGTGGGGAATTGTTTAACAGAGCCAGGTAGGTCAGTGTTAGTCAACCCGGTTCTCAAAGAAACAGCGCCCCCTGTGGCATTTGCAGCTGGTTTGAAGGGGTATGTGTTGGAGGAGCTTGTCTGCTGCTCCTCGTTCTGCCTGTGCATCTCGAGTCACAGCTGGAAACACATGGCGATTCAGTATTGCAATCAAATATTCATTAAAATATTGAGGTTTGAGGTCTGATGTTCTGGAGTAGGTAGACAACCTAAAGCAGCTCTGCAGAACTGGTGACAGGTCCCTCTTTTTAAGCATGGCTGACTCATTATTACCTCTCTGTCTTCGGACATTCCTGCTGACTGTCAGCTGGAGTGGAGATCATGAGACAACCCGTGCAGAGCACAGCTGTGACATTTCTGGAGGGCTGAGCTCGTTCTGTAACATTTTTTACTGCGGTGTGTCTTTGCTTCATTGAAGAGAATTCCAAACATCACTCTGGACTGAAAATAACTCTTCATAATTATACCTGTACTGTCATGCTTAAAACACTGTAGGTACCTCCTGTCTGCGGTGCGGCAGACCATTATTATTAATCACAAAATCATCCAAGATGGTAGAGAGCTGACAAATGTGAGGAAGATGGACTTCCCAGAGTGCATGGAATGAGTCCTAATGAGGTCAGGCAGCAGTGTCTGTGGAGTTACCTCTGTTTACAAAAATGTGAGAGTGATCTGCTGTGATTGCACTCACTTCACAACACGGTATTATCAGCCTAATGTGGTGAAGCCAGCACAGTCAGGCTGCCAGCCTGGCCCACTGCAGGGCTTGTGAGGGTCCCTGCAGTTCAACATGATGAGCATGGTTAGACTGTGGGTTTGCAGTCACTATACAACATGCTGGAAGTCTCCCGTCTTGTTGTTTTAAATCACTTGGGCTTTACAAGTAGGGCAGGGTTTCTTGACATTGACATTGAGTGTTTTATCTTTTGCTTTTAACAAGAGGCGGTTGAGTTGTGGTTGGCTGGCCTGATGTCTAACAGGCTGGAAGGTCACCTCAGAAGCACAGGGTTCCAGCAACACAAAGCCACCTACACTCTGCTAGGGGTGCTTTTCTGTTTGGCCGGGGACTGCCGGTGCAGCTGAGCCTGTGCTTTTCATGACTCCCCAGGAGACAATGGTCTGAGGTGTGCAAGCTTGCAGTGCAGGGGCTGGTTTGCTAGTGAACCTCAGGACAGCAGAAAACTGTTGGTCGTGTTTTCCTGGCTTGACAGCGAGGTAGATCACAGACAGCAGAGTCTGACACCCCTCAGCTGAAGCCAGCAGAGCAGGTAGGTACGGGAGCAGAGACACTGGGACTGATGTGTCACAGAGCTCCTGTAGAAATGTCCAGCTGCAGTAACTTGGAAAAGGTCCTGCCTGTGCTGTGGCTCCAGGTCAGAGCTTAGCTGAAGGAAGATGGTTCGTGACGGTGAACATTTTCTAGGTGAGTTGTGCCAGAGCACGTTTTACCGCTTGTTGAGTTTTAAGTCAAACAAATGACCAGACACACAGGTCTATTACTGTCCATACCTTGATGTCTGCCTCCATGCCTTTAATTGATAGAATGAGAAAACTTCTGTCCTGATAAAACAGTGTCACAGCATTGTGTTTTCTGTCAGGGTTCAGTTACATCCCTCTACTGTTCGTTTGAATGTGGGACTCTGGGGAGACATCCTATGGCTTGGAAGTTCATGTGTAGCTTTGACATAGTGTGTGAACTCCAGAGCTCATGCAGCCCCATGGGCTAAGTTTACACTACATGCTTGTTTGTGTTTCTTTCTTTATGGCTTGAGTGCTTAGGCAGAACATTTGTACCAAGTGCGCTGCACGGCCCTCAGTGTATATTTATATTTGTTACTTCGTGGCTGGCAGCACCTGAGCCACAAAGGAGAGAGCAGAGGGACCTTGCATGTTGCGATTCAAAGAGGGGGAGATCTGTACAGGTTAGCTGCAGTCAGCTGGTACTCATAGGAAAACTTCTCCCAGGATTTTCTTGCGCCATCCTTTAATCCCAGTGAGTCTTGAGCTTCCTGCATTGTCACAGTCTGTAGAAAATATTTAAAAACTGTGTGGGTGGGTGCGCAGATCATTAGTTCTTTTTACAAAGCAACTGAAAATGTTGATGTCAGGTAGCTATGGTGTTTGGTAGAACTCTCAAGAGTACCAGTGAAGCTTTAACTCAGGCAGAATTAAAGACTGATGTTTAAAGAACAGCCTTGAGAGAAATCTTCTGAACTTTACGTGACAGATTACCCTCGGAACAAATGCATTATATTTTAAAAGCCTTTCTTTATTAGCACATTTTCTTGGGACAATATGTGCCAGTGCTTGTTCATCTCTAATTTTATATTGCAGGGCTGCTGCCTTCTTGAGGATATATGTAAAGTTGTGCATGTGGATCTCACAAATTCCACACACTGCTCCTGAAGGAGGGGATGTGTTTAAAGCCTCCATCTGTATTTTCAGATGACATGTCCACATTTTTACTGATGTTTTGTGAAAGCGCATGTTGTTTCCAAAGGCTTGTGAAGTCTTTCCTTGGTCTTTCCTGCTCGCTCGCTGACAATGAGACAGGCAGTCTCGTCTTTAAATATTTTACATAATCAGTGTGCATGTCCACTTTTACATTCTTAAATTTCTAACAGAAGGTGCTTGGCTCTTCAATGTTGTGGCTTTGTCAGGTTTTTTAGTTGTTTATTCTGTTTTGCAGGTGTGTTATTGTGTATCAGGAGAAAAAAAAGTACACGCTGGGCAGAAGAAACTGGCCTGTGACTGCCTGCCTGCTACAAATTCATATATGTAAATGAACAGGCACCCAGCCTGAAGAATTTTTCATGATAAAAAAAAATGAGCTGGTAAAAAAAGCTGCCCTCTGCAGAGAGAATTTGCATTTCTATTATTTCCTTCCCAGTCTCATCATCAGTGCTTGGACAGCAAGGAGATAACACAGCAGGCTGTTTCTGCTGGCCGTGAACAATGATTACATTGTATTGCTGTCTCTCTCAAAGTCACAATGAGAGTCAGTTTTCACCCTTTGCAGAGCACTGTGTGGGAGGGCTAGCTGCTTAATCTTTCTGCCATAATTATGGCTTAACAATTCTTAATTTTTAGATTTCTAGTGTTTTGGTCATCTGTAACAGCTAATGAACTGCACAGCTGACATTGAATTGGAGTCTTTGACTTTGCCACTTACGTTGGCATGAGGAGAACAGAGCAGAAGCTGTGCTGCACGGAGTGAGCTTTACAAGTGACGTGTGGCGCATGACCCCTATCTTTTGTCCTTCTCTCTTCGTGACCCATGTGGGCAAGGAGAGGCTCGGTGAGAACCGGAGTGGGTTGAGCTTCTCGTTGAATTACACGATTACGGTCACTATTCCACCAGCTCGTACGACACCGTGTCCCCTGAGTGCTTTGGGGAGATGCACGGAGGTGTCAAGACAGTTGACAGTGGTGTTAACACCATAAACAAGTTGCAAGGACCACAGGATATGGCATCTACCTGATGAGGGAAAACACAAAACAGGTTTGTCAGGTCTGGTGTGGTTCACTGTTGCTCAAGGCTTGTGGGTATAAGCAGCAGCATCCAACTAGAGTATCAGCTTGTTTGCAAAACTGAGCAGGCACAGTGAACTACTATCAACCACACTTTGGCACCATTCATCTTCTGCTTGTGTAAAAAAGAACGGATTTCCACTGAATTTCCAGATCGGATGGGATGCTGTACCCTTTGGCTTTATGCACACACAGAGCGGTGTGTTAATTGGTTTGGGAACGTTATGAACGGCGGCCGTCCCCCGTGAGGCTGCCGACTCCGGCTGGCAGGTTTTGCAAAAGCTGGAGGTGAGAAGAAGTGAGCAGCCTCAGCTTCCTGTCCTTGAACCTGCAGGGCTGGAAGGGGTCGGGGACTGAGCTCGCCCTGTCTCAGTATGTGCCGCCTTAGTGTGAAATTCCTACTGTTACTCATGACTCACAATGAGCCCTGAATATGTTCTTAGTCAGTGTGGAAAACTCCTGTCACCTAAAGGACACACACCACTGGAGAAAGATGCCTCATACTGCTATGGTTTGTTCTGAAAGCTTCAGCATGTTTAATTTAATCTTTTTCTTTCTTGAATTTGTTTTATATTATTGTCACCCTGCTTGGCCCATACCAGTGATCTGTGTGTCACAGCTGATGCTCTTAGCAGGGGCTTTACTGGTTCAGATTCCTGGGAGCCCTGCCCATCTGTAAAAAAGCACAGACAACAGAGCTCAGAGAAGTTGAAGTGAAAGCTGAGATGGCCTGAGCTGCTGTGCACACTGAGCTGTGTCCCCTAGCCTCCACACACTGCTCAGCGGGACTAAGACTCTCCTGCTCCTGTGCAGGTCAGTTCTACAACATTCGAAGGGAAACACCTTCTCACCTGTGCAGCACGGCTTCAGCCTGACACTCGTATCCAGCAGGTCCAACCTCGAACAATTTAACACGGCCTTTCTGCAGTGTGCATTGCCTTTTGCTCCCTGCTTTAAAAAGTGCCATTTTGCACAATGTAATTCTGTGTCTTTTGTGCTGTTGCAATGAGGATTTGAATTACTTGGTAGACACGGCGGCCTGTCTAAAGCCTCCTTCAGGTGCCTGAGCTGTGGCAGTGATGTGCAGTACGTTGTTGTGCACATCCTGTCGGTGACACTCGTGTCTGCAGAAACGTGCCCGCGGGCCTCCAGGAACAAGTGCTGAAGCTAAGGGCTGTAGAATAAAAGGACCGCCTGTTCAAAGAAAAGAAAAGTGCAGGAGCTCTTTTTTGTGAGACTAAGAGTTCTGAATCTGTGCGGAGATATGAGTCCTGAAGGGGTGTGGAAATGCTGAATTTCAGTTACATTGATGTTTTATTTGGTAGAAATATGTATTTAGAGACCCTGCAGATTTTTAAGGGATTATCATACCTTTCTGCACACCCAGGCTTGTGGTGTCTGAACGTGCTTTTTAAGTGCCCCAGCGGTGAGCAGGCAGCCCCCAGGAGCTGGAAGAGGCCTGAGTGCGAGCTGCAGCAGTGCACAGGTGGCTGCAGCCTGGTACAAGCAGACACAGCCTGGAACAGAAGCACACATCAAGGCCCTGTGGCTCTCAGAGCAGCAGGCTAGCCCACCCAGACACAGAGCCTGCTGTGTGCCGCTCCTCTGCTTTTCAGCCCCCTGTAGAATGCAAGGGCCCAGGCCCTTGTCAGGACCGTGTCACATTTCCTGCACCCCCCCGATCTGAGTGGCCTGTCTCGCTTGTGAGGTGTGTGGCCAGCCGAGAGCACTCTGTGAGCCGACTGGGTTGCACTCTGACAGCGGAGTTAAGGAGGGGGGGCAAGGACTCACACTCACACTCACACTCACACACCTGTCTGTCTGAGGAATGTCAGGAATGGATGTTTATTAGTGAAAGGATTTGGCATGGCAGTTCAAACTATAAGCTTTCTCATCCCCGAGCATGCAGACAGCTTGCCCGGCCTGACGCTGACTTGGGCCTGCAGAGGAATTGGAGTCGTGTTTTGGCTTCAGGACCCCCCAAGAGGTCGGTTCTCTGGGGTCTTTCGGAGGCGCCGGGTCACCCAGCGGCTGCTGCTGGTGGTCTGCTGTTGGAAGAGCAGGCTGGAGCTTGAAGAGGGTGGCTAGAAAGGGAAGTCAGTGGCTTTGGCTTGAGCAGGCCGCGACCCGGGACGCTGTGTTACAGAGGCTTCACGGGGGTTTGCTCTGTGCCCCCCTGTCCGGACATGCGTCTGTTCTGGTGGCCACAGCGGCTGACGCAAAGCCAGCACAGGGAGCGATTACCTGACTTTTTGAGAAGTTCAGGGGTGCATTAATAATCGTCAGGGCCCAGGTGTAATTTTTCAAATGCTGAATGGAAATCAAAACAGGATTTTAATACAAACGAAAACCTCAAAACAAAGGGATGCGGGGGTGTGGAACAAGCTGTCCAGACACTGTCATTGCCGCTGGAAGATCCTCAGGTCAGTGAGCTGGATGGGCTGGCCTGCCCCCTCTTGTCTGTAACCTTACCCGTGTCTTTAAATTACAGTGATGTGTTCTAGTGCAGTGTTTGATAAAAACATGTTATAGCCATCTTTGAGTGGCTTACAACTGGCTGGCCTCATGTTTGAAGGGTCTAATTAATCAAATTTACTGATTAACCCAATTCTGGACCATTTAGATACATTGTTTTGTATTTTCTACTATTCAGCAGAGGATATTATTATATTAGGATATGGGGGGGGGGGATCGCTGATATTTTGGGCTATCAAACCTCGGACTAGAGTGTATTGCTATGATTTTCAGGGTTTTATGCTTCCATAGAGATTCCTTTCATGCGGAGGCAGATCTTTCCATTCATACAGACCAGGCATCTTCTCAGAGCGGCCCAGGGGCTGCCCCTCTGCCCCTAGTGCCCTTACAGGAGCAAATGTGTGCAGACTACTTCCCCCGAAAATAAGTTGTTGTCATTAAGGAGCAGTGTGGGTGTTAGCCTGAGTCCTGGTATCAGCACATTGTGATCTTAACCCGGTTTTCATGACTTCATGCTGCCTGTGGTTTTGCTTCCTGCAGCCCTGCCCTTGAGAGCAAACAGAATTGTAGCAGGCTGTGCTGGAGGTGTGACTCGGGAGCAATGCTGCTCTGTCTGAGCTTTTGTTGTGCCCAGTATAAAACAAGGGAGGGAGATGTCAACAGCTTACAGCTCGTAATGGATTGGAAGGATTCCTTCTTGCCCCGCTGGGGTGGTGACGTACGTGTGTCTGTGGATGGAACAGCAGCACCAGTGAGCCTCTGCCTTGGCTTGGCCTTGCACACGCATTCATTTCACCTGAGCAATAACCCGCACTGTCTGCTGCTCAGTGCTCGAGTGTCCCCATTTTTACATAGTATTTAAAAAAAAGTTCAGTTTAGCTCATCTGTGGGATGTTTTTTTTTCTTCCAGCTGGCTGAGTGTAAGATGATATAAATACTCTCTCAGAGAAAAGAGTTGGCAATAACGTAGAAAAATAAAAATCGTGGGAGCCAGCATGCTCGAATCAAGCGTGTGGGGCTCCGGAGCAGATTGAGCTGAGAGTGCAGGCTGAGCCTTCGAGCTGTGGCCGGGGTGCAGCAGGTGGCCCTGGACCACTGTCAGGGTGGGATGGAGGGGGATCCCAGAGAGAGCAGCATCGCCCCTCCAGCGGGGGTCGGGTCTCCCTGTGCTGGAGGGGGCTCCCCAAGAGAGCAACATCGCTCCACCAGCGGGGATCGGGTCTCCCTGTGCTGGAGGGGGCTCCCCAAGAGAGCAACATCGCTCCACCAGCGGGGGTCGGGTCTCCCTGTGCTGGAGGGGGCTCCCCAAGAGAGCAACATTGCTCCACCAGCGGAGGTCGGGTCTCCCTGTGCTGGAGGGGCGAGCACCTGACGCAGACGTTCAGGCTGTGGAGTGATGTGTGCAGGGTCCTCTCTCCCCACCTGCACCGGTACTGTGATGTGTGCAGGGTCCTCTCTCCCCACCTGCACCGGTACTGTGATGTGTGCAGGGTCCTCTCTCCCCACCTGCACCGGTACCGCCGGTGGTTCAAAAACAGGCGAAGCTGAATAAAAAATTAAGGTGTTCAAAATGAAAGTCGACAGATAAATTGTAAGTTTATTAAACTGCTGTTACTAAGTTGCATTGTGCACTTAATAATGTAAGATTGCTTTCTGCTTTTTGAAAACTGTTGCTTATGTACTGGGAGCCTAGAGCTGTGGCTGGAACACTGCAGCATTCAGGCCATGGCAGTCATATGTTGTCTTCACATGACTTGGGGCTCCTGGCCTCCTAATACAGAAATCTGTGTTTTGTTTTTTTTTTCAGGAATTTAAAGACTTGGCCCAGCGGATAGACTGTTTGGAGCTCAAAGGTTAGATTCCCATTTCCTGCTGTTCTCGAGCACCATCCACAGGGTCCAGTGTCTCCCGCAGCGTGGCCGCTGTTCCAGCACACTGAGCCGGTTCTCTCCGCTGAGTCATTGCACCGTAAACGGCTGAAAAGGGAATGAGCCTGAAGGCACTAGTGTTCATGTGTCGACTTAATTACATGAGCTTGTACTTTTCAAAGAATGAGGCAGGAATGTGGAAACCAGCCTTGAAAATCCCTGAATTCAACCCCCGTGTGGAGGTTTGACCAGTGCTTCGGTTTCATGGAGCCGAGAAAAGAGGGTTGTGTGCTCTTCTGGAACCTACTCCCAAACTTCCCAGCCCAAGGCCCAAAATCATTTCTTGCTGCCTCCTCGAAATTACAAATGAAATAAAACAAGAAACGTTAAAGCCTGGTGAGGGTCAAAAGAAAAGTCCATTGTGAACTTGGCTAGAACATGCAGACTCCACACAGAAGTCTCCCTAATCTGAACTAACCCCAGGATCCCAGAGCTGTGAGGCAGCAGTGCTAACCACACTGGAAGTTTACCCCCCTAATTAAGTAAGATTTTACCCTTGAATACTTTCAGTGGCAGGGGGTGAGATGTGTTGAACGTCAGAGGTTTTTGAAGAGTTGTGAATGCTCATTTCCACAAAGCATTGTTATTATTAGTCTAACTGGCCTTTGTTTCATTCTGTATCATTTTAGTGACTGATCATTTTCCTACATGCTGTGGTTGGCACAATGCCCGCCAGGCTAAACACTGGTTCACACTTGGCCTCTTTTACCCACATGATTATTAGCTAAATTATTAGCCCATGTTCTGCACTGTAAGGGTGCAGAGACAACAGTATTGCAAAATAAACTTAATCGACCTCAGGAATGTTGGTGTGGTAGCCCTGGCCTTTTCCAGATCTCTCCGGAGTTCTCCCACAGTTTCATTTATTCCAGCGCTTCTGTTTGCTGGGACCTGAGGGAGGAGGGCGAGTTGCTGGTGCAGCTCGGAGTGCCAGCCTTCTGGCTCACAGCGCTGTGCTCACTCACTCACTACGAAAGAATATACTGTTGACAAGACTGACAGCTGCCTGGGTAGCTGTCGGTAAATGAGCAAGGTTCCGTCTCGCAGAAACAAAAGAGCAAAGCCCTCAGTTGTAACGACAGCTAGGAGGTGATCGCTGCGCATTAAGAGTTGCACTTGCAAGAGGTTCTGCCAGACAGTGAACTTGCTCTTGCCTGGTCATGTCTCTTTCAGATTTTAGTTATTCTTTTGCAGTCCCTGTGAGGAGCAGCTTCTCCCGAACATCATGGGCCTGGTTACAAGTCCAGTGTAGCTTTAAACTAACCCGTGCCAGAGAAGAGTGAGCGTTTAGTTTGGACTGTGCTTAATCCAGCCTGGACCTTATATACGTTTGAATGGTGCAAAGGAGTGATATTTTTATTATTTCCAAACCAGTTATACAGCCAACAAAATATTGCTACATGCTAGGATCTCTGACATTCCAGTTCTGCGTCTGTCTTTGTACGTCATCTGCTGTAGCCCATCTCTGTGTCTCGGCCTGCCTTCCTCTGCTTCAGCTTGTCTGTTCTTAGGTCTCAGATTGTCAGCTTGTCTGTCCCTCTGTCTGCAGGTGAGAAGCTGGATTACAAGGCTTGTGAGGCTCTGGAGGAGGTCTTCAAACGAGTTCAGTTTAAAGTGGTGGATTTGGAGCAAACGAACCTGGATGAAGATGTGAGTTTTCCTTCCTACCTTGACTATTTGTTTGCAAGTGAGCAGGAAAGACTTCTCATTACAGCTGCTAGAAAACCACCCCAGAGAGACTTAGCTTTTCTTCGCATTTGCGTGATCTGGAAGGGTGTGTCTACTGGAGATGTATTGATCAGTCCAGCAACACTCAGACTGGTCCTTTTTATCCTGCATTGATGTGACACTATGATTTTTCAGCTATTTATTAGCACATACTGGCACTATGTGCACTGATTAATCTAAAGCTTAATGTCCTACCAGATTGGCAAAATTTCATTCATCTGAAAAATTTCGTTGGCCTTAGTTCTGGAAGGAAATCTCTTATACAATTTCTTGGGCTTTGTGTAGCCCAAGAAATTGTATAAGAGACAGTAAGAAGCTGTCCTAGAAACTTGAGATGCACATTAAAGATGGCTAAAATATTTTTTAACATGCTAGCCTGATGATTGTATCTTGGGAAGGAGCATGTCAACTGCTAGATCAGATTTTTTTACAGCACCAGCCCTTACTGTCAAGAAAGCATTTACTGGCAATCTGAACTCCCATTACTTTCTTTGTTCAGTTCATTCATTTCTTTGTTCTTTGAGTTTTTGTTAATTTATTTCTATTCACTAGAAAATAAAAACAGGTCAGAAAACTATTCTGATTTACCTTCACTATTTAACACACAAGTTAAAAAATAGGCTGCTGCTATCGCCATAGAATGCTACAGAAAATGTCTCAATAAACTGATGAATTCAGATTATCATTACACTTTTTTCTCAGTGTTGACTGGTGCTTAACCAATGAATGGGATTAATGGGGTTAATCAGTCAATCAGAGCTGTAAAAACTGTTGGCAGGAATGGAGAGTTAATTAGACAGCTGCACGGTGACATTTACAAAGAAAAATGTTATTCATCAGTCATCATAGAGAAGGAGGAATTAACCATGCCTTTCAAAAATCACCGACTTGAAACGTGCTCTGAGAGAGAGGAGAAACAGGCAGAAGACAGGAGAGAGAAGTAGAAAACGTGGCTGTAATGATGTGTGAGCTGGGAACTCGCGATCCTTAGCGAAGCAGCAAGCGCCGCTGTGTCCGCCGTTGTCTTTACGGGAACAGTGGGAATGCGTCTCCCTCCTGCGCTCGTCCCGGGACCTGGAGCCGGCAGTGAGATTGTCCCGGTGTTTGTCTCTCGCAGGGAGCCTCGGCCCTGTTCGACATGATCGAGTACTACGAGTCGGCGACGCACCTCAACATCTCCTTCAACAAGCACATTGGCACCCGGGGCTGGCAGGCGGCCGCACACATGATGAGGAAGGTGAGCCAGGAGACAGTGCGTCAGGTCTGACGATTCTCTGTGAAATGCTCTGATTCAACCATACAGTGGTATTCCTCATTCTCCAGCGCTCCAGGGCTGTAATTCCAGCAGTGCCTGGTGAGTGATTTAGGAATCCACTCTTTTACTGTGACCATAAATCTTCACACGTCCTGGTTCATTATACGCTGCGGGAAGTGTGAGTGCTCCACAGGCTGTGCTGTGTTCCAGTCCCTCTGGTCACTGGACTGGAGCTGGAAACACCTGGATTTGGGCACAGAATCAGAACTTCAGACCTTTCTGATTACTAGATTGTGCAACTATTGTATTTCCTAGACATAACTGGAAATTGATTTTATTTTTTAATTTAGATTTGCTGGTTATTTTTATACTTAAGAGTACTCATGTTGCTGTAACAACTTGCAATCTGAGTTTCAGCCTGAATCACACTTCAAATATAGAGGCCTGTGCAGATCAGACTTCACTCTTCAGATTATCTTTGTTAATCTGATTATTAGTAAAGAGAACTCTTTGTTCTTATAAACAAGCCACAATTCTTCTCTACAACTTCATCTTTACCCTGATTTATTCTCAATGTAAAGGTTAATAGTCCCTTTGATATAAACTTGAAATCCTCAGATCATCAAAGGATTGAATCTGTCATACCTTGTTCTTCTTCCAGTCAAAAAGGATCTTCGTGAAAACAGGAGGAACCCAAAAACGAAAATGCAGACTGGGGATTTGACAATATTTAACTTCTGCTTCTGCAAAACCCAGATTTCAATGTCAACATTTTGGAGGAAGCTTTAGGGAAAGAAGTCGTTCTGCACTTTGTAGTGTTTAATTATTAGAACTGCCATTGAACTGAAACCATGCTTTGTTACAAAAGGAATCCAGATGAATTTAAAAATCAGATCTTGTGCCAGTTATGAATTATATATCAACTGGTGCCAGTTGTGAATTATATCACAAAGGCAGCCCAGAGCACTGCTTGGCGACACTTAGTGGAAGAAGGACTCACGGACACCAGTGGACATTGAGAGAGCACATTCAGGACTGAAAACAGGAAACAGCTTCATGCAAAGGGCTGTGGAGGCTGTTTCATCTGTTCCATTGAGGGCAAATGTGTGTTAAGTTTGGAAACCGCATGTGCCAAGAGGTTGAGTGCAGAAACTATATTGTTCTTCGGTCGATGGGCAAATACCTTTTTGCTGTTTCTTGAAGTACGGCAGACACTGATGTCTGAGTTGAGGGGGATGGCAGCCCACAGTGTCCTCCTGTTACTGAGGAGGGCGTGCGGTGGAGGCATGTGAAATAGATCAGTTTCACTGATGACACGATTACGCAGCAGATTTGTAGGCAATATGCATGTCCTCTGTACATGGTGTTCCAGAACATCAGGAGAGTTCTGCAACTCTGATCCAGGTGTATCTAACATAGAACTATTTGGATGTGTGTACAAGCGTGCTAATCCATTGAGCATAAAAATGGATCTTGTAAATTGGGAAGGTCATCAAGGCTGTGGATTCTGACTGAAAGATCAAATATCTCATGTCTGTTCTGTTTGTTTCACGGAGCACTGAAGAGTTGTCATGTTAACTCCCCTTGCAGAAGGGCTCAGTTCCTAACGCACAGTGTCACATGATATACCTCGAATAAGACATGTAGGAGCACTGCAATTATCCAGATTTAGATTGGAATGCAGAAAATACTTTATATGAAGATCTGACCACACCAGAAATGTGTGTAAAACTGGTCCCCAAACACTGGAATTGCTCATCATTGCTCCAGTATGCTGGTGTGGAGCTTCAAAGAGCATAAGCAAGGTCACAGCATAAGCAGGACCACAACCCCCTGTACAAGTGTGAGGAGAGCAGGAGGGTCAACGACCTTGCGGTTCTCCCTCACATGTCCCTCTTGTCCCTGCCCGTCCCAGACAAGCTGCCTGCAGTACCTGAACGCCAGGAACACCCCCCTGCTGGACCACTCTGCCCCCTTCGTGGCACGAGCCCTGCGCATCAGCAGCAGCCTGGCCGTCCTGCACCTGGAGAACGCCAGCCTGTCCGGACGGCCGCTCATGCTGCTGGGTGAGTAGCAGGCGCTCGCACTGTGCTGAGTGTACATGGGGACGGTCAGGACGGCCTCAGTCCACGGCTTGGTCTGTGACGCTCCGCTGTGGTAGTCTCAGCCACAAAGCACTCTCTTCAAAACAAATACTACCTTCTGCGCAGTCGTACGTTAAAAGAGGAAACATGATTGAAATATCTTAAGGTATGTACAATAATCTTCAGTATGCAACGTGAAATAGATTGAAATACTTTGGGATTTATTTCCCTGATGTAATTTAGGCAAGAAATGCAGGGCACAATCTTCTGAGCTATTCAGAACTATTCTCTTCCGAAAATTAGGTCTGAATATGAACTCACCTGTGAGAGTGTGTGTTCAGCGACAGTAAGAGTTTCCCTGATTAATTGCCTTGTTCTGGAAAGGTGGGATATGTAGTAGGACGCTGATTAATCCAGATTGTTGGAAATTGTCTTCTGTTCTCTAAGCAGGTATTGGGGATATTACAAGGATAATATCTGCTCCTGGGTTTAGACAGACAAACTGTATGTTCCCCTCTGTCAGCAGTGGTTTCCTTCCCACTTGATCACTTAATAGCTGAATCGAATCAATTATCAGCTTGACTGATGTAGATCCACAGTTTCCAGATCCACAGCCACTGAGCCGCTGGGGACTTCCCAGCTCCCCGTGAGGCCTGCAGGGCCGAAGCCCTGAGCTGGAGACTGACAGCACTGACATCCTGCCTCTCTCTGAACTGCAGCCACGGCCCTGAAGATGAACATGAACCTGCGGGAGCTGTACCTGGCAGACAACAAGCTGAACGGCCTGCAGGACTCAGCCCAGCTGGGCAACCTGCTCAAGTTCAACTACTACATCCAGATCCTGGACCTGCGTAACAACCACATCATGGACTCGGGTCCGTCTTCTCTCCCTGCAGCGCTGGCCTTTCTTTCTCTCCTACATATATATATATAGAGAGATATATCTCTCTCTATATATCAAGTTAGGGCCTGGTTCTGTTGCTTTGCTGTGTTAAAGCCCCTCTCTGTTTTTCTTCTGTGTTATGTTACGGTCTGGTTCTGTCTCCCTGTCTGCGTTGCCGAGGCCTGTTTCTGTTTCCGTCCCTTGTAACATGTGGCTCTGTGATGTGCAGGGCTTTCGTACCTGTGCGAGGGGCTGAAGGAGCAGCGGAAGGGCCTGGTCACCCTGGTGCTCTGGAACAACCAGCTCACCCACAACGGCATGACCTACCTGGCATCTGCGCTGGTGAGGGCGAGCTCGGTGACCCTTCTCACGCGCTTTTTACTTTGCTCACATTCAGGTCTGGGGGAGGATCTGCCCAGCTCAGAAAAAAAAGTCCAGATCAGCCTTTTCCCAGCACCAGAATGCTGTAGTTCACTTTGCTGTTTTCTCTCTGATGGACTGTCAGAGTAAAGCCCTCAAGCAGTATGGCTGGAGCAGCCAGGAAACCATCAGGGCACAGGAGGGCAGTCTGTGATGAGAGCAGACCACTCAGAGCGTGCTGCTCTCCCCAACGAGGAAGTGGTTTCTTTACCGCTGGGTTAATTGATGCTGCTTAGCACGACTAACAAGTGAAGTATTACAGTACAGTGTGGTTTGTAAGCTGTTATAAGTGATTATTGTGTTATTGTATTGTTTGTTTAGCGTGAGAAGCGGCCTCACACCTTGTTCTTGCTGAGAACTGAGCCGTCTGTCTTTTCACCCTCATCCTGCCCTCGTTTTGTCAGCTGCTGAGCAAACCACACATCCCTCCTTCCAGCAGCTGGTTCTTTTGTTTCTGCACCTGAGCGGTGAAAGACCAGGCTGCTTTCTCAGCTGCAAGGCTGCATCTGTGCTGTATGTCTCATCCTCTTTCTGTTCCCAGCCCTACACTCAGACCCTGGAGACGCTCAACCTGGGGCACAACTCTGTGGGGAACGAAGGGGTTCACAAGCTGAAAGACGGGCTGATCGCGAACCGCTCCGTCCTGCGGCTCGGACTGGCCAATACCAAGCTCTCCTGCGAAGGTAGGGCAGATCCTGCCACGCCCGTCACAGTCGCGGTTTGCAGATCCCAGGGGCACATCCTGGAGGCTGTCCCACCAGAAGAAGGAGAGGGGGTCGGGCTTCAAATTTTTTTAAAACATTGTGGGACACGCCCCTGTCCTGTTCAGACTGGACTTGGTGCTTGGTGGGGCTCCTGTGATTTTAGCCAGTGCGTACAGTTGCTCGTAAGGAGATAAAAATTAGCTTTGGTGCGGTTAGCTGTGCCGAAATCTCAGTCTCTACTGAGCTCAAGGATGACCCGTGTTGAAATCGTTTTCCTGCCGTGGTCTGCCCCCTGTGCCAACCCACCTGTCTCTGCCTGCCCAGGTGCTGTGGCCGTGGCGGAGTTCATCGCGGAGAGCCCCCGCCTGCTGCGCCTGGACCTCCGGGAGAACGAGATCAAGACGGGCGGCCTGATGGCCCTCTCGCTGGCGCTGAAGGTCAACACCTCGCTGCTGAGGCTGGACCTGGACCGGGAGCCCAAGAGAGAGACCGTGAGTCCCTTGGGCCTGTCAGGTCATGGGGGTGTCGGCCCTTTCTGTCCTGCTGGCGTTGTTCTATCAGCAAGAATTCACACGGTCAAAGTGTTCTGGTCTGTCTGCAGCCACAACACACAGGCACATGTAGGGCCTGATGCAGACACTCGTGCACAAGACTGATGTTCTCGAGTGTGGTAGAATGAAACAATGTGACTTTGGGGCTTCTCGTTGTGGTACACTGTTAACCTAACAACTGAGTTCACAATAAGAAAAACATCATTTGAGAGAAAAATCGCCTTAAAATGCGATTGTGCTGTTTTTCATTTGACGAAAGAAAGGCACTGCTTATAAAGTGTGGTGAAGCCTCTGTTCTCATGTTTTCATGTCTCCTCTGCTGCAGGTGAAGAGCTTCATCGAAACCCAGAAGGCTTTGCTGGCGGAGATCCAGAACGGCTGCAAGCGCAACTTCATCCTGGCCAAAGAGAAGGAGGAGACGGAACAGAAGATGCGCCAGTCGGCCTCCATGCCCGAGATCACGCCCGAAGAAGAGGAGGAGGCGGCCGTAGCCGCGGGAGAGGAGGAGGAGAATGAAGGAGAGCGGAAAGGAGAGGATGGGAGTGCTAATGAAGGAGGCGGGAAAGAGGCTGAGGAAGGAGAGGAAAGTCCAGCAGGAGCTGTGACAAATAGCACCCCTGTGGTCCAAGAGTCAGACTCGGACACAGATGACGACGACGACGATGATGATGATGATGGTGAAGAGATTATAAGACCAGCACAGGCGGAGGAACAAGCCCCAGAAGTGCCTCCTGCCCTAACCGGACCCCAGCTCTTGGCCACCGAGCCCGACAGCGGGACCAGCTCCCCTGCACCCAGCCCGCCAGCCCAGGGACCGGCAGGGGTCACTGTCACTGAATCTCCCTCCCCCCGCCCCCCCTCTTCCCCTGCCAATGAGAGGTGCATTTCTGTGTCCAGCCCAGGACGTGGCCACAAAATCTTTGTGGTGACCCGAGTGGAGAGCCCGCTGGAGCAACAGCAGCAGCAGCCCTCCCCGGCCCCCCCGCCCACGCCTGCCGCCAGCCCCCCCCCGCAGAACCCTGTGCCTGAGGCTGGCCAGCCCCCCGCTGCCCCCGACAGAGACAAAAGTGCCGCCGCGGCCACCCTGCCCAATGGGCTGAAGCCAGAGTTCGCCCTCATCCTGCCCGACTCCAGAGAAGTGCCAGCCCCCAAGGCAGCGAGCTACCCTGCACAGCGCGGTGAGTCTCTCCTCCCCGGTCAGACAAACAAGCTTCAGGAGCGAGAGGCCTGGATATGAGATTCCGCACCTCAGACAGTGGAAGGTCTGGGTCTCACTGTGCTCGTTGGACCTGCACAGTCTGATTCCACTGCAGGGCGTGGTTTCACTATGGGGAGTGATTAGGAAAGTCTGTGCATTGATTTCCCCGTGTTTCATTTGTTAAGATTATCGTGAAGATTATTCCTTTTGTGCAGTACAGTGAAGTGAAAATGAGATTTGATTTACTCAGTGTGGCTTGTATAAAGAATTCCTTTCCTCCTTCTGGCCGATTTCTTCAACATCTTCCCAACAAAGTGCAGATTAATCAGTACGACCCAGTTGTTCTTCCTTCCTCAGGAGCATGACTGACTTCTCAGTCAGAGTCATTCCAATCCCAGTCAGTAGTTTCTTCCTGCAGATCTCTTCTGCACTGGCCTCCGGTGTCTAAGGCAGCCAGCAAGATGTTGATAGTTAAGCTCATTAATTTTTTTCTGTGCACGACACAATCAATTGTCTGAGGCACAGTACCTATCAGGTCGGACCAGGTACCTGGAAATGCCTGGCAGAAATGATGGTGGCAGTGTTCTGTTCTGTACAGAGATGCCCAGTCACGCCTGCAGCTGAGCAAGTGTCCGTTTCTTCCCTTGACCACAGAGCTGAACTGCGAGCAGGACCTGGAGGAGCTGCTACGTGAGGCAAGCCTGGAGACTGCCAGAGGAGCGCCGTGAGACACTGTGCAGGTAACGCCGCCATGTTCGTTTTCACCCACATGGGTTTCTGGGCGCAGGCCTTTACCGTTGTTTTATTCTAGACCAACCAGTGAAACAGAAGGTAGGCTCCAGCCTGTGTGGGTGCAGTGCATTGCTTTAAATCAAACTTCAGTTCATTTTCACCATGCTCTGACTTTTTGCTACAGATGTACGTGACTGATAAATAATGGTGATTCCTCCTCAGCTATACCTCCTATACTTCCTCAGGGTAATACTGTATATTAAATACTTCCTAGAAAAAGTTGGAGGCTAATGTGTAAATCCTTGTTTCTGATTTCCTAGTATTGTAATACAGTAGATTCACTTTCCATAATAATATTAATCCATAATTATTCAAGTGATCAGTATTCAGTGGGCACTTAGTTAATTAAAGTCATATCTAGTAATAGAGGACCACTTAAACAAGATCCAGTTAAGTAGCCTAGAGCTAATTTTCCCTTTAGTACATGGAAGTGAATTTAAGAGAGAACTCGGAACAGGAGACACTACTTGGAGACACTAGGGCTGTGGGAGTGAGGAACAAGCTGCATAGCCATGTTGTTGATACCAGTATTCTGGCTTCTTTCAATAAACAGCTAATGATGGATGAGCTAATAATCCTCTGAAGAATTAGCTACAACTGCCAAACAGGCTAGATAGGCTGAATAGCTTCCTCTGTCTTGGAATCGTTCTTGTGTTTGTGTTTGTAAGTGGATTGGAGTTTTAAAGCAGCAGCCTGTTTCTCTGTTCTTACGCTGTGTTTGGATTTCACCGCCTCCCAACAGGGCTGCTTCAGTTCCCGGGATGCAGGATGCTCTGGTCTCCTCGGAACTCGCCCACTCGGCTTTTAGCTTCTTTTCCGTTCACCTCTGCCCACCCATGAGAACTGAAATGCTAAAGTTGCCTCCCTGTCACTTCGAGAAACAAAGGAACTATTGCAGTAGAAAATTATGGATGAAAAACACACGCAACAGGACCTTCAGCCGATGTCTGACAACAGAGGCCGCAACAGTCGCACCGTATCTTCTGTCACTACATTCCATCTTCCTTGCAAAGCCCGAGGGAAGATCGCTGAGCTGGATTCCCCGGCGTCTGGAGGCGCGCGCTGTTCTTACAGGCCGTGAACCAAAGAAACAGGACCCTCGCAAGGACACACGCTGCCTTGTTCCTGTCTGCTTCCTGACAGGGAAAAGAAAGACAGCATCTTGTGCCACCCTCTACCCCACCTCCACTGCGACCTGATGAGCTCGCTCACACTCTGGTGTCGCGCAGTGCTCCGCATTCACGCCACAAACACACATTCAGAGAGCCTGCTTGGCCTGGATATCTCTGCTGGGGACTGTGGAGCTGTTGTGTATTTACTAGGAGCTGGTGAGGGAGGGTACGGGGATGTAATTTTGTCTGTCATGCCATCTGTTCTGTTTTTTCCCCAAAAGAAGTCTGGCAGAGCTGTCCCCCCCTTCCTGTGTCTTTTTCCCGGTAATCATCACTGTGCAGCCAAGGTGGGAGACAAACTTCCAGATCCCTTCTTTCCACAGCAATATCTGGACGTGGCAGGGATTTAAAAAAAACGGCAAGCCTTTTTTCCCTCCTACCCCATGCGATTTTCTTTGTCCCCCTTAGAAAGTTCTGACAGAGCAAAGCGAACCTGCGGGGCGTGGAAAGAGGATGGCAGGTCTCCCGGTGGCTCCGCGCCACGGCGGGCCGCTACCCGTCTCCAGCCATGTGCATGTGGTAGAGCTCTCACATGGAAAGACAGACAACTGCCTTCAAACTGACTTTGACCTTCTTTTTTTGCTGCTTTGAGAGATCAGTTATATTCTTATTTATTTTAGAGCTTTATGAGCCTTTTTTGTGTGTGATATTTCTTTTTTTTAATCTTTTGGGTTCTTTTTAATTTTCTTCTGAGGTGTATATTATTTCTGATGCAAATAAGAGTTTATTAATCTTTTTTTTTTTTTGCTGGGTGGGGGGTTATGGGCAGGTGCAGTTTTCAAGAGTGGGTCAGGGAGGTGTGTTGAGTTTTTGTTTTTGCTGTTTGTGAGAGCAGCCTGGGGCTTGCCCCCCTCAGCGCTGGAGATTGTGTCCCCCACTGTGCAAACACTACATGAGTTCAGGTCACAGCCGTGCGCCCTGGGCTGGCTGGGGGCTGGTAAATGAGCACAGGCACCCCCTTGTCTTCCAGTGCCATGGCTTCCTGGTAACCAGCTGGCTATGGGCTCTGTGTGCCGCCCTCGCTGCCTGTCAGGTGCACTGAGCAGGCAGGCGGGGAGACTAGTTTAGGGTTCTTTTGTTTCGCATATTCCCTCAGCTTCCTCGGAGATCCTGCCACGCTGCCCATGGCAAAGCGTCACGCCAGAAATGAGTCGCACGTCTCTGAAGTGTTAATGGTGCCCAGGAGAGTCTGTCCGAGTTTTCTGCTGCAAGGCTCAGGGGCTGCTTTTTGGGATTCAACACTGCTGTGTGGGCTGAGACCGGAGCTCGTGTCTGCTGGGGGCTCACAGCCCCTTTGCTTTCCTCTCTGTCCCTCTGACGAGGCTGTGAAAGGTTGGTCCCATTTCTCCGAGAGGACAGAGACAGAAGCTTTTTACTGGAGCTGATACTGTAACGCCTTGGGGTTCCTGTATAAGTGTCATGCTAGCAGGGTCGGTCTAGGTGCTTTCATCAGTGTGTCATTTTCGCCACCAAAAATGTGCCCACCTAGATGTGTTGTGGGGTTTGTAGTTTTTATCTTCCTGCAGATACAAGGTTTGAGTCACATGGCAAGGCAGTGAATGACGAGCCCCACACTGAGCTGTGTGAGTCCTGGCTGGCCATGGCTGAGTCCCTCACAAGAGAATATCACCCCATTCATCACTTCTGTAAACTTTTAATTATTCTTACAGTGATTCATCGCAGATGTTTAGAGAATGCATCTAATTTTGCCTTCTCTTGCTGAGGTGGGAGAGGGGTAGTATTCCTGTTAATATTCCAATGAGCAGAAGGCGTTTAGAATCTTATCTAAAAGTAATCGTAAAAATCAAAAGAGTGAGTTTCAGTTAAAAAATTAAGTTGGTTTGTTGGGGAAAGTCAGACTTGTGTGTTAAATCTCAGGATTTAACACCGTTTACACTGCAGTGTTTTTTCTTAACCCAATGCTACAATAAGTGGATTAGTGCTTGCTTGTAGATCTGATCAAAACTATGCAATTGTGTTTTTATTTTGGTAGATGCCTTACCATGGCATCCAGAGAGATCCAGATGTGGGGTGCTTTATGCAGTAATGAGGCGTTGCTCTACCCCAGAGAACCACAGTGATCGGTCAGAACTCCAGCTGACACATAAGGCCCGTAGAGGTTCACTCTTTCTGCCATCGGCACCAGGGGCGAGGGGCGTCTGTGGGCTCGGGGGCACCATCACACAGCCCAGGACAGCGGCTGGACACTATAGTAGCTCCACAAGTTTGTAGTGTTCAAAAAATACTTCATGCGTCGCTCGGAGAGGGAAATAGAAACACATAAGAACTGTTCAGCCACAGATAGCTGACAAAACCTTGATTGTTCCAGAATTTTTGTTTTGTTCCAGACAATTTTTGGTAGTGTTACTGCCAGGCAGTTTTTATTTGGACATGTCTTCAAGTGCAATAAAGACATCTTGTCTATTCACCTGAACAAAAAGGAACTAAGAACTAGCGTATGTATGTAAGTGTGCAATAACTGAAAGGGGAATTTTCTGCTATTTTTTCACAAGGACAACGGGCTAAACACACCACCTCTTGCAGAATGTTGACTCTGGCATTGATGAAACTTGGCATTCAGTCCTGTCTGGCCAGGCAGAATGTGAGCAGACATTCACTACTCACCACTTTGTGCAGATAAAGGTGTTTAAATAAACTTTGGACATGTTGATCCAGGAATGGGGAGTAAATGTCTTCATTTTAATCCAGTTGATTATGTGCAGGTTGTCGTGTGAGGATTAGAGTATTTCTTTGCACCTGTCCTGTCCAACAGGCAGTGACAAGGAATTGGTTGGGAATGTTTCTGTGGAGGGAACGTTGGGCCGGTCTTTGAAATAGAAGGAGGAGTTGTGGGTAATCCAGAAAGAACAGGGGGTCTTGCATTCGGTCTCCAGGGTGGAGATCTAAACGTTTGGCGGAATTCTCGTTCGTTTTCCTCACTTTCTGTCTCGGCTAAATAGGACGCTTGACGTTCTTGTCAGAAGAGGCGCCAGTGAGTAAGGACAAGAAAGGGTTTGGCCTGGGATTGGAGGACAGTGTCTAGGATTTCAGGAAGAGAGAGATGGGATTGGGTGTCAGTGACAATCAGATTTCTGATTTCCTGTGAGCAGATGTGTCTTTTAAAGTGAAGACTCTCCTCTGAGCCTCTTGCTAGTTTTTAGATCATTGAGTGGATCTGCTGACATGCTGCTAGACATAGTCTGCAAGAAGGGAAAACCAATGCATATTTGTTTTAGGGGGGGAAGAGAGTTTGAAGATGATTAGCTTTACCTGATTAATGCACCAACTTTTCCTCCTACTGGTGGTTGGAGAAGACTTAGATTTTACAATGGTGGCGAGGTGGAAAGCAGGAATGCCTCAGTGATGGTCCGGTTGTCCTCCTTTCTCAACCTTGAAATGTCATAACGGAGAAGGCGGTCCTGTCTTAACTACAGATCAGACGTCTTTTATTCAGATATTTTTACCTTTGCTTCAGAGGTCTGTGCTTTTGTTTCTGGTGAGCTATAGCTGTTTTCTGTCAGTGAAGCCCCTTTGCCTGTGGAACCCAGTATGTGCTGAGGGTTGTGACATCGGGGCCGTCTGCAGTAGCACCAGCTACTGTCTCGCCATCCCACTCGGGAATCCAGGGCAGAACACTAACTCTCGATGGGTGGTACCTGAGGGAATGAGGCTTGTGTAGATGTGCTAGGACAGCGAAAGAGAGAGTGCAAATTTGGGTCGCTGGTTCGACTTCAGGAAATGAAAAGCTGGTTTTCCCTGGGAAATTAGAGCTGGAAAATACAAGATTTTTTTTAGTTTGACTTTTGGAATGCCTGATTGAATTGTGCAAGCACACAAAACCTTAAAAATCTTAATCTGGTGTTTAAATCAAGCCCCTTAAGTGCTGGAGTGATATGCATTCTGTTAAGTTTAACACCTGTTCAGATCTGTCATTCCCTCTTAAAAAGTGAGAAGTGACAAAATGTGAGAATCGTAGCTTGGTTGCATGTAAACCCCCTAAAGTATTAAATGCAGAGGTAGGGCCCCTTAAGTAGGGTTTTGACAGTGTTTTCAGTTCTGCAACTTCCTTTAAGAAAATTTAAGGGGAAAACTAAGGAGAAATTTAACTTCAGGTGCTTCATGCAAAGGGCAGTGAGTACTGGGTTGTAGAAGTCAGAAGAATCATGCACAGCTGCAAGATCTGCGTAAACCCAGACAGCAATTGTAGGAATACCGAGCATTCAAGCAAAATGAATGCAATTCATTGATGCAGAACATCGCTAATATTAAATTGTTGAGCTAATTTTAGAAGTGTTAGTCATTTAAATGCTTTAAGGAATCTTACAAAATCAGTTAAGTAGGTTGCTTAGCTTTATCTTCAAAAACAAAGTATGTATGGGGGAATTATTGATTTATTATCATTTGAGTACTTCAGGTCACCTGTTGATTTTGGTTACAAACCGTTTTCCTGTGTTTTTTGTGTGGCCACCCAATCAACCACGTTAAGGTGCTGGGAGAATGCAGAGGGTGAGTCACTGCTGTGTAGGCTGGTAATTAGGACTGTCTCTGCAGGAGGTATCCTAGCCGCTCAGACCCAGATGCCCAGTCATTGGGATACCGTTGGTCAGCGCCGAGAGGTACAGCCTTAGCCAACCAGCACAAGGAAGGAAAGGCTCGCATTGCAAGGCCAGTGCCAGGTTTTCTGTCTGCAGGCTATTCAGTGTATTGGCAGTGACAGGCCTGGATCTCACTGGTGCAAAATGGGAGTTTTACTTCCAGCCTTGTAAGACACCAGGGGTATGTATCAACCTCACTGACATTTTACCGCAGTCAAATTAATTTGACATAAAAAGTTTTGTTTTTCATTGTCACTGTATAATTTTTATTTCAAGAATGGCTTGTGAACATTACACAGCAGTGTTTGTCACATGCTGATCTTGCCTTGTACAGAGAAGTCTTATTTCTTGACATGTCACCATTCAATGGACATGGTTCATGGGGTTTTTTTCTGGAGGGGGTTGAGATGTACACACTACTTGTAACAGAAACTGAATCCTAATATGGGCTGTAAATGAGGAAGTGAGGATGTTTTTGTGTACACAAATGGATTTGTCAGAAAATGTATTTTGGGGGGTCCTGTAGTCTTGTCTTTCGTTCTGCTGAAGGTCCAGTGTATGGATATGTAATCCACCTGCTTTCTCACGTCCGGTTGGGGGGCAGATCGGCCGTCCCTGGTTGTCCCTGCTGTCATGACTGTCCTGTGCTAGTGGCTGGCTTTTACCCTCAAGCAGCACATTGCCCGTGTGTGTCCAGGCACTGCTCTCATCCTCAGTCACCTGGGCCTGTCTGAGAACAAGTCTTGCCCCCACGTCATAGAAAATCCTTCAGCTCTGCTCTGTGTAGTTCCAGTCTCCTAGTATTTTTGTTCAGCTTTCTAATGCTTTTTCAAAATTAACATTCACTCAGTTATATGGACTGAAAGGTTCAGCCATTTACTGTATATTGGGTGATTTCACATTTACAGAGTTGTAAAACATTAAATGATGATTGGCACTTTTATTCTTGTATTTTTTCGTCAGAGTTCCACCTGATTTTTTCATTATTGATCCCCAGCAGAAACTCAGCACTCTAATTAAGGAGTCATGTAAGTAATTACGTTAATTGACTGCTAGTTGTATTGAAGTCTGGAAATGGCAGAAACCAAGGTAGCCCGTATTTGCTCGTTTCTTCATGAGCATGTTCTGTACTGGATTTCACTGGCTTTTTCCAAGGACATTTCTCTGCAGCCATAGAGAAAGTGGTGACAGAGCCCAGGCAGTAGGTGTGGCACCCAGGACACCACATGTGGCTTCAAGCAAATGCTTATGATGCACCTTGAGCCCTCAGTACTGTTTGGGACCTTCCATCACAGATCAAGAAAGAGATGTGTGATAAAAGTACGTTGCCACAAAGGAAAAAGAGCCCAGGCTAAGAGAAGGCAGTGGGATTACAGATCTGTACAGCTGGCCTCCTAGTGCAATATGTTTATCAGGGAGCTGTGAGGACTGTGAACAGAGGTCGTTGCCACCTTCAGCAAAGCTAATCGCAGATGTCTGTATTACTGTACAACACTATGATCTCTCCTGCTTGTAATTTGTGTGTTTGGGGATTTTATTCCTATTTATTTGGGCTTCTTCTTTTAAAGCATTTTGTTTTTATTTTATTATTGTGCTTTTCCATCCCTAAGCTTTGTTTTGTCCCTGATGCTAAATTCTGTCTGGTATCTGAAAGCAGTACAATAAAGGTATACACGTCTATCAATGAAAGAAATTGCAAAATTGCTCCCGTCAGCCCCAGCCCTACTCCTGTAGCTGCAAGTGTGTTAATATACAAACATCTCGCTTCGGGCACACCACTGTGCCACTGTTTTCACAGTTGCCAAATTTCCACCCTGCCTGTGTCCACTCTGAAGCAGGGTCAAAGGGACGTCACTGGGGGACGATCAGGTATCCTTGTGATTTTTTTTTGAGAAATCATGATCTGAAATACTCCTGATTTTCCGAGCAAATGACAGAATTTGAATTGTTCAGAGTTCTAGCTTTAGAGCAGGTTTTGTAATCTTGCAGTAGTTTTGAAGAGAAGTGTAAGAGTCTAACTGTGCAGTAGCTTCACGCCTTCGGGAGGAGTGCGAGACGGAGGGCTGGCGGGCGGTGGCAGCTCCGAGGGCAGCCGGTGGCTCGGGCGGCCAATAGAGACCGTCAGGCTTTACGTCTTGTGGGGACTTCCCCACGCTGCAGGGCGGAGGCCAGTCTGCATTGGCCTTAGCTGGAAACACGGCCTGGTTTGTTGACTTTGGCCAACAGGGGGAGACAAAAGCATTGCTGAGCTCCTCACAACACCTGCCAAGCCTTACACTGAGTAAATGAATGACCTTCTTCCCCATTAGCTGCTGTTGCCATGAAGCATGAGAAAAGCATGCTTGAGCTGTTTCCTTCACAACCGAAGAATGAGAATAACCTGTGAAAGCCCAGGTGCTCTGGAAAACAACGGCACGTGGGGACAGGGGCAGATTCCATTAAAATATTTTGATGAAACCGAAATATTTACAGAAAAACACGAGTGGTTGGAAGATTAACTGCATCTTCCCCTCCAGCTTAAGGTGAATTGTGACTGTACACAGGCATGGCCCTCAAGAGGCAGAAGAGGTGCGTTTCTGAACTGTTCCTGACGGGCTGACAAAACAGCAGCACCCGTGTTCCGGTCAGGTGGGGGTGCGATGGGGTGCACGTGCCTGGCTGCAGGGCTGGAGCCCCTGCTGGGTCAGCCAGCTCCGCGAATGTAAACAAAGACTCCGGTCCCACAGGTGGTCCATTTCAGGTTTTACTGACAGCAGCTGTTTGAATGGGACTGCTGCAACAGAAAAAGAACTAAACGTCTTTTAACGGATGAATGTGCATGAGTATAGGCACAGTAAGAGAACAAGGGCTGGTCCTCCAGTCCTCTGGTGCTGTGTATTATATACACTCTATCGCACATGTGCAGCGTACGCACACTCTCGGGGGCCTGTAGCTCACTGAGCCCTTCGTGGGCGGGAGAGCCCAGGCCCACTGGCCCCAGTGTACCGATGCAGCGAGCCAGCGGCCACGCCCAGCCGCCACCAGACGAGCACGCGGCCCCGCTGCTGCACAGCTGCCACCATCGGCCCGCAACCTCCAACACGCCCCCCCTGCAGAGAACACAACCGAAACGTAGCTGAGGGCTGCTGCTGCTGTTGTTTTTGTTCAGATCTGTTTTCAAATGTTTTTTTTAATTGAATTTGCCTCTCCAATCCTGCTCGGCTGGTTCTGGGGTAGCAGTGGGCTGCCTGACTGTACAGCCTGCTTTTCCAGTGATGGTGTCCTACGCATCTCAGCACTTGGATAACATAAACCAGATCTGAGAAACAGGTTTAATATATTGCATTCAGTTTGTTAGAAGTGGCTTTTAACTGGCCAGTATCTGCATTGTTATGAACATAGAAAATGAGATTTGAAATTTAAACAAATAAAAGTGTTTTACTGCATTTATGGGTTTATTGTATAATCCTGGTTGAAATAAAGGGTTTCCTAATTTCTACCGTCTCTTATTTTTTTCCGACGCTATAAGATTGTCTCGGTTTAGAGAATATTGATAGAAACGTTCTGCAACTTCAGATTCCAACAACGGGCCAGTGTTTTAGGAGAACAAATTTTAGCCCTTGTGATTGCTTTTATTTTTAAGAAACTGTCCCTCTTCAGACGCTTTCATTCAAAGCGACTGGCAACAGCTGCAGTCAACACTGGCACCCGCGCGGACTGCCCCGTGTAACCCCTAGCAACCGCCCGCGAGCTGCCCCACGCGGCGGTTGCTAGGGGTTAGTCCTTCGCGCTGATTAGACATTGGGAGGATTAGTCCAATCAGCGCTCGCCTGTGTGCCACACACCTGAAGAAGGCTCCACGCCCGAAACGTTGTGTTTCCTCTCTTCTTTTTTTCAGCATGGAATAAACCTGTTACTTGTTCCTTTGCAGCCTATGCATGCTGACGCAGCTCCCCACCTGAACTACTACCTTATACCATAACATACCTACCTAATATAATTGAACCTACAGTAATTATTGGCTTGGTAACGTGACCGGGTTCACGCAGTGGAAATTAACTTTTCTTTGTATGGAACACGAGGAGTTTGTTGGTGAAATGAAACAGCTTCGCTACAGTTTATTGGCTCAAAAGGACTGGAAGAACTTTAGGATAACATTCAATAGCCAACAGTGTGCTCCTCACACCGGATACTGGTGGAGCCCTGCTGCCTCAGCTGTACTGCAGCCAGGAGCGAACGGCCCAGCTCCAGCACAACAGCACCCGAGCCCACTGCCTCCCAGCTCGAGGCTAGAGCCCTGCTGCTGCGCCTGCCTACAGCAATCTAAGCCCATGTACGTCAGTAATGGAGTCAGTGAGCTCAGATGGAATGAAATCCCCAGTCCTGTGTGCGCGATGTGGTCAGTTCCAGATTGCATCTTATCATCTTTAGGCTGGTCATGTACAGACTGGTTTGGTGTAGTTTCACAGCTCTGCAAGGGCAGTGTTATTGTCACACCTGAAGATTGCTCAACAGCAGAACTGTTGAGCATGTCTACCTCAACAGTCTACCATTTTTCAGCGTGGAATTCACCTTCATATGTCCATTTGCATATAACACACACCGACGCAGATCCCCTCTCGAACATCAACTGAATGTTGGCTCGCTCAGCTGAAACCCAGCTCCAATGAACCCTGTGTATTTCTGACTCCTGTGGGCGAGGATGTGCTCAAGAGGTCTGGAAATCCTCTCAACAGCTGTCAAAGGCTCAGAAAATGGGTGTAGTTTGGGAAAGAGTATGTTTAATTCGGAGTATAAATAACTCGCCCATATTAATAACTAAGCTCTTGACATCTCTCCTTGCCTGAAATCACTTTGGGAGAAGAATACAACATAAATGCTTCAGTAAAGCTTTCTTGTAATGTGAAGAAGCAGAATAAAGGGAAATATATTGCCAAAAAATTCTTAAATAGTTGTAGCTTTCACAAAATACATTTTTACTTTAAAACATGAATGATCAAGATGTTTATTATACATTATGATTGTCAGTATTTGGGAACACTCTAAAAAATGCATTTTCATAGACGAAGAATAGTTATGGTTCTCTACGGATATTGGCTTTAAGTCTTTTTCCTGAACTAAATATTGTATAGCATTCACAACATTTCAAATGAATGAAACAAGACAGAGATGAGATGTACATTAAGACAAAGGTGAATATGTAGAACACACCCTTGAAATGGGTTTAAATATTCCCAGTGCTAGTTCAGATGTGTCCAGGGTGTAGTGATGCACAATGAAAGAAAAATAACATTTCACGAACACCCTTGCTGAGCGGCCAGGAGCAGCTGTCCTCCAGCGGCGTTAGAACAGAGGTGCCGAATCCAGTGCCTGGACACGAGCTGCAAAAAGCAGGACTTGCTTCTCAACGTGCCTGTTAATCTCCTGCTGGGAAGCGCGGGGGTGTGACTTCACGTAATCCGCAATGGCCAGAATGCACTCCTCCTGTTCACACAGCAAGAGCAGCCTGGTGTAACGGGCGCAGCATACAATACTGCAAGAGACACGCTACAGAAAGCTTTCTCTTCAGCAGGATGACAGAGAAAAGACCATTAAGGTTATAATTACTAGGGCCAGTTGTCTCCATATGTTGGTAAACTCATTCTCATTTTCACGTACCTGTCGAATGTTATGTGCTGTACTGTGCATATCAGTGAGACACAGACAAGTCAAATTACACACTGCCTCTATTCACTGCAGGTACAAATACTATAAGGAAGACAACATCTACACAAGTACAGTAGTATGTTGTACTGGACAGTCTACTTACTGTGAGGCTCTCTTATCTGTAGTTTTCCCAACAGTAACTAGACAGGAGGACATTTCCTTATAAGAATCTCCTTCATGTTAGGAAGCATGTTCTTCCACATCCTTTTCAATTTCAAGCTACTGATTTGTATTCTTCTACAGTCTCTCAGAGTAACATTCTTTGGTTATTGCTCAACTGATAACTTGGAAACCCTTTGGAATAAATGGCCTGCTATATGTTTGCACCTTTGCCCTTAATATACCATTAATGGCAAAATAATTACAAGCATGTTAACAGCAACACCTATAAACACTTGCATACAAATGTCAATTAAATGACTGGCTCTCAGCGTGACTTGCCTGTGGCTCAAGAGCAGCTTGTGCTCTGTGATGGAAACTTCAGAAAATAACGACTGACTGAACTCACTATAACCTCTCATCCTCACCTTGTAGACGTCCACTTGGTCCTTGCCTGTGAGCCTGCGGAGGATCTCCTGAGCCACCTGCACTCCTGTGACCACGGTGAGTAAGTCCTTGCTCTGCACACTGTCCGTCTGCAGCCAGCTCAGCAGGGCAAGCTGCCAGAAACCGTGCAAAAGACACAGGTCACCATTTAACACCAGACATACAAAACCCTCTGCGCTTGCTCTAAAAGCACACTTCAGTGCAGTCGGGTCTCATCCAGTCAGTCCACTGGGATGTCCGGTGTTTGAACTGGACATGTGAAGATGACACAGAATACTCAGCTGCTCCTCTTAATCTGTGCATCCTCGTGCGTGTTCGAGGTTGGGAACCAAGACCTGTATCGCCCCCATGTGGCTCTTCTGAGTATTGCAGCGCCTTCCCACCTGCAAGAAAATATTGCCGCTGGGCAGCAAGTGCGCCGACATACCATGCTTTCTCATCTCTGTTGCGCTATCAAGATTTATTGGCGTTTACAGTTTACTGCTCGTATACAAAGGCAGGGGCGAATAACACGCACGGCAGTACAGCTCAAGACTGACAAGTGCAGGAAATGACTCATATTCGCATTTTGGTAGTGAAGTCAACAGATTCAGCTGCGCACTATCAACATGGATCTACAAGCGGACGGAACTAAAGTGGTTCGTAAATAACGCCCCCTCGCATTCATTTGGTCTTCGTAATGTTTATTCGAGGCATTTTTTTTTTGTTTTCCTGACTGTCAGCGGAAATGTCCTGTTCATATTCAGTCCCTGGGTTTTTTTGTACAAGATAATCATTGTAATCACGTCACTAATGTTTTCTTTCTGTGCATAACACTGATAATATCCCACAGACCTGCTGGATGAGCTGAGAATTGGAGAGGTGATCTTCTTTTTTCTGGTCCGACATAGTTTATACTGCTGAGCAGGATTAAACCCCCAAAAAAGCGTTATTTATATAATCTATATAACTACTGTACTTCACGATGTGCTCCGGTGTTAACACTCAGACATAGCTAGAAACAAGCAAAATAAATTCCTGTTGCTTTGGTTATAGTTGATAAAAAACAGTCTCCAAATCCCGTACAGCAATGGCAGACAGTGAAACCGTGAAACTCCCGCTAACTTCCTGGTTACGATCGCCGTGGTGCACTGTGGGACATTGGAGGAGCTCTGAGAGCCGTTTCTCGCTCGGCTTCATAGCAAGTGTGCTGTAAATAATGTAAGAATTTATCAGAATTTTATTATAGACCTCACAGAACGAAAAATACTATCTCTTGTTTAAAGAAGACCAAGAAGTACACTTCTTTTGTTTCGTGACCAGTGGCCAAAGGGTGGTTTCCCCCCTAGTCACTAGTATTCAGGTCTCGGCACCATTCCTGGCAAAAGCAAAAATTACGTCAGGCAAAGCATTCTCCTCTGAACCTTCTCACTTTCAGGGGTGGTGCCCTTCCGTGCATTTTCACTTACTGGGCCTACTGCGTTTACTGTTTCACAACAATTAAACTCCTACGTATTATGCTTCTGTTTCTATCAGAAACTGCCAGTTGCACAATAACTCATCTCACATGTGTGTCTCCTCCACAGTTAAGATGAGATAAGATAAGATTTGACTGTCCCCTGAGGGAATTGGTTTATGGACACCCAGCACACCTGTACATTTAAATAGTATAGAATGCAAAAAAAAGAAGAAAAACATTGCACATTTTAATATTACAAAAAATAAAAATACAGCACATCATTCTATTGCACTTGTACAGTAACACATCACAAAACATATTGCACTCAAGTGGGTTGTAAGACTCATAATTGTGTTTATCCTTGACATTTGCTTTGACTGCTTTAATGGATAGTGGAACACAGGAATGTTTGTATCTGTTTGACTTACATTTGGGAACCCTAAAACGTTTGCCAGAAGGAAGAAGTTGATATTCAGAATTGAGGAAGTGGGAGGGATCGGATATAATTTTTCCTGCCTGTTTGATTATGGGTTTTTCAAAGATTGTCTGCAGGGAGGGGTGCTGTTTCATTCCCACGACCTTCAAAGCTGTCTGGATGAGGTGGGTAATTTGTGATTTAAAATGAACTGATAGATGACCAAACCACACTGAAATACCATATCTGATCATGCTCATGATTACAGCACCGTAGAAGAGGAGCATTACTTCCTGTCGAACCCCAAACACTCTTAGTCTGCGCAGGAAATATAAGCGCAGCTGAACTTTGGAGCAAACACTCTCAACACGAGTAGTCCAGCACTTACACAG